AATAACCACAACAATAACAGAAAAGACAGCAGTATGGTACAAAGGTTACATGCAGGTTTTATCGCATTCAGGAGATTTTGAAAAAAAGACAAGGGAAATAAAGGTTAAAGGTTCAGTATCAGACTGCTGGGGAAAAAGAGAGAGGCTTTTCCACATACCAATAAAGGGAAGCCAGGTTCTATTATATCATACAGAGTGTATCTCAACTTCTCCATTTGGAGGCACATCATGACTTCCTTGATCCATAGTATAAAGAACTGGTAGCCTTCCGTCTGGTTAGAATTAGTCGCTGTGCTAACAGTTAGGTGAGTGCTCTGACATTTGACTGATATAAAGTGATACTATATTCTGTTGATGGAGCACCAAACACCACCATGTATGGGTTGGGATCTATTGTTTTGTTACAGACATATGAGTACACTTGAAATATAGAACATATGACCCATTGTCGCTTGTGACTGGTGACATCTAAGACAGCTAGAGTCAGAGGTTGAGAACATTTAGAGAGTTTAGCCTTAGTAAGAGATGATACGTAACTTTGAACTGCAGCAACCAGTGGCAAATGCAAATAGATGAGGAATGAATGCGACTAAGAGATTCCAAATGGCATCGGGGATAGTCACCTTAAGATCTTCCCAGGCATCCTTTGTCTCGGTCAATGTTGCAGGGTTAATGTGTTGAATTACATACAGTCTTTAAATACAGCCTTTAAGGTTAGTGCCAGGTCTTTAGCAATCCTCTAGAGGAGTTTGTTGGGTGGAAGGGGGGTGCCATATAATGTTTCATTAACACACTATACCTTAGTGTGTCCAATGAGATAAATTAGTTATTCACAAAGAGATCTTTAAAGAAAGTAAGAGAGGTTTGAATGTTATGGGGCGAAGCTGAATGCTTGTATTTATAGCCAAAATGCCGTCTAAATTGGGACCAAATTCGTATACTATTCTGAACCACTGGATTGTTTAGATGGTTATTTAGGTTCAAAGGCATGGGTGAGCAGATCAAGGATATGGGTTAGACTGGTAAGCTTGAATATAGTTCCATAGTAGACCAGACAGGGCCTTCACCTGTTGGTAATGTGGAAAGCCAGATTGACAATTTATTTATGTTTGCTGCCCGGTAATAGCATGAAAAATTGGGTAGAACTAAACTATAGATCCTAATATTTAAAATATTCAAGTTTTCCAAGAAGGATGTTGTATCAGAGGAGTCCAAGGTATTTTGAGAGGTGTAAAGGTTTGAGTAGTATCGTTAATCTTTTTATGGTCTGTTTCTAGTAGTCCAGTTTCATCACTAATTTCAGCTATCAAATTATGGGATAAAGACTAATGTAATTGATGCAAAAGAAGTTTACCAGCCCTCTCCCCATGTTCATAAGTATGCTGTCTCATCTGCAACATAAGTTTCTCTGATGAAGAGAGTTTCAAATTCTGACTGAAGCATAAGTTTTTGTTTGAACAAGTCTGCAGAAGGTCTGTCTGCGTATTGAGAGTCAGCGAGAGGCAACAAACAAAAGTTTTTAAATCACATAATTACATTTTTAATCACAAATTTGTTTTACTTGCGATAAAACCATTTTTGATTTGCACTTTCAATACATTTGCCCTCAAGAATTTAAAAAGGTTGCATAATAAAGACACAAAACAACTTAATACATGTTCTACAGTTTAACTCTAGCATAACAATTCACAAATTTGCTAGATTTAGATGAATCTATAATTGCTTTTAAATAATTACCTTTTTTAAAAGCAATCTGATAGACATCCATTGTATTGATATCTCCGCCAGCAAATCCCATTCCATACTCCTACACACTGAGCAACTTTAGCTCGTTGGGACGACATGTGCAGTTTGAGTTATTATGAGTTATATGATAAAAGTCTATGGAGACCCATTCAGTCCCATTTCATTTATAACACAGCACCTGTATACAGTGTAAACTCCATTCAAATTTCAAAATGTTCGCTATAGAGTCAGGAAGTCATCACATCTGGGCCAGGCTTTGGTTCACAAGCTTCTGTAACTCACTGCAATCTCTCATTCGGCCTTTCTTTCATCAGTCTTTATGAAAAAATTTGTTGTGTTTCTGGAGTTTACTTTCCACATTCTAAGATATTAGCTCCACTACAGTAGTTGGTGTTAGAAATTGAAACGACTGTGATTTTAACAAGGTCAAACAACGATTGTGAGCACAGAAAAAACTACAGCTCTCATGAAAAAAAACTACAAATTGTAAAATAGCCACTGGTACACACTCTGAATGCACTCAGCTATAATGGCATGTAGTGTTTATTAATTATATACCGGAATATAAGTCAGTTAATAGGTTAATGAGTTTTCAAATTCATGAAAAACTCCAACTCTTTTTTTCAGGCACCTGAAAAAAGGTTTCTTTGTTAGTGAAATTTAAGTTTTAATTTTTTGAGTTTTTGTCCTGAATGTAGTATTTAAATACTATTTTAATGTAGATTTAACTCAAATAATACATAAAGAGGTGATGCAATTTTTTCCCCCTTTGACTTGAACAATGACTTAAATAGGTTTTATACAGCAGCATTACTCATGTTTGTCACTTGCGTACCAAATGAATAAAACCATCCCGGTGTCCCTGCGTTGGCTACCTCCTGGTCACAGTGACCGTTTGCACACTGATAATCCAGAGTGAGAGGGAAACGGCTGTCAGAGTTTCCAGACAAGAACAAAGGCATTTGGGCTGGGGCTTCCTTCCCTATCGCCTGCTCAGATCAGCGCTGTGGCCCAGTCAAATTACCTCCAAGCCCATCTCAGTCAGCATACTGTCCCCTAGTATGCCTTAATCACTGCTGCTCCTGACCGCACCATTTGTCCCTACATGGTGTTGGAGGCAGCTGAGGAGAGGAATTCAAAATAATAAACTAAGGATGTGACATCATGATCTAAAAATGGTCGATTCTTTCATCAGTGTATCTTCTTGATGACAGATTGTGGAGTTTGGTCTGAATGTAGTCTTATTATTGTTAAAAGTGTGTATAATGGGAACAAACAGAGCATCCTCTGGGTGTGTTTTATTGGGCTTTGTTCCAGTCGAAATGAGGATTATAAATTAGGTGGATTAGGAGATGGATAAAAACACATCTTAACATCAGATTTGAACTCATACAGGGGCAATTGTTTTGTACTAGAATCCACATAAATTGCTTTTGTTGAAATTATGATAATCTTGCAATGGGTTTTTAGTCTTTGTATGTATAGGGGCAGCATTGGTGTGTACTTTAGTCTTAACTGCTTTGTGTTATGTGCCTGGGTTTAAGGATCAGAATGATAAAGGAATCAGCTGTGTGTGTTTAGTGGCTTGCTTTGTGTGTCTGCAGGGTTCAGTAGAGTACGCTGAGCTCAACAGTGAACAACCTGAGATCAATCACTACCATCAAGAGGTCAACAACTACCAGGACCTGCCGGTGCCGGTGGATTAGTGATCACAGCCTGCTTTTTTCCTCACACACTTTTCTGTTTCCTTCTGTTTTTGTCAGCTTTACCAAGTACATTCTCAGATTCCAATCAGTGAAATAATTGACTGCTAAGTTAGCTGTAAATATTTTTGTATCTTAATAAACGCATGTCACATATCTTCACTGTGTCTGGTGGTGTGTTTTTCTTGCGTGATAACGAGCCATGATATTACAGCTACATAGAAATGTGATAAGCAGGAAATGACTCCGCTGTCACCTGTAATATCGATTTGTTTTGCCATTTGTGTTGGAACAGTTTATATATTGCATGGCTCTCTTAGTCATGTAAAAAAGGAAAAGACACAAAGATGTGCATTATATATAGTGCCTTTGGTGTGTGTATGTGTGTATTCAAGTGAGCACACGGACTAGCTCACACAGGTATCTATAAGTCTATTGGACCTTACCTGGACCGTTAATGTTGATGATCAAACTGCTTCTCTTTCCGGAAGTGATTTAGAAATATGGGACACTACTGTGATATATTACATACAGAATATTTAATTATGCATAATAGATTAATATAATAATAGATAGATTTACATTTTGTGCTAACTTGTAATCTGCAAGTGCCTTCATCTTTTCAAGTGTCAATTGTTAAAAAAAGTATTGAATTATTACAGTGGATACAGTACAGCAGTTATTAAAATTAAATATGATAAAAAAACTACAATTTGCCATTATGTAAATACACCAGTATATATGTAAAAAACTATATCTATGAACAGTATGCAATCATATATGATAGTGTGCTGAGAATGTGGGTTTGAGAACTAAACCATGGATGTTTTTGGATCCCATGTTTTTGAATGTTGAATGGCATTGTGGGAAATAACAAGTCAAAATAAAGAGGGCACGTGGAGGAAAAATAATTGAACCAAAACAGTACATTACACTACTTTAAGGCATAATGACACATGGAAGGGTGACTATAACAGATTTTTAACTGAGCGTTTTCAAATTCCACTGTTGACTCACACATGATGGGAACAGCCTGTGGATAAAAGGAGCTGCTCAGGTGCATCTGCTCTGTTCACTGATGTCACAACCTGTCCACCCAAAGGTGTCAGATGTTGGTGAGAATTTGTTGTTGAGTCTAATAACTGCTTCAAAATACAACTTCAATATTTTATAGTATGTTTTGTGAGTTTAACACTAACCACTAAAGGTTAAAGCCTTCCAGTCAGTGTAGCCTATATTTCAATAGTGTGGTTTTCCCTATTAGCCACCACTAAGAGGCGCTATTGCATCAATTATACAGAGCAAATCATTCTTCTTCCCCTTCACTTCACAGTTCAGTGTCTGTTGGTAGCACATGGCTCCATCTTGTGGTAGAACATTTAAGTGCACTGCAGGATGTTGGGATCGCTTCTTATGAAATGAGCTTAACATTGAAAAAGAGGCAAGGATTGCAATTAGCAGTAAATGAATATAAAAGAAAATGAATATTTGAAGGTGACATGGAACAGAAAAATCACATTGTATTAATCCACAAAAGCTGTTTTTCTTTATTTTGATTTGAACCTTTGATTATTCAGAGTTATAATAACAATTCCTAACTTGTAACGATGGTATTTCTGAATTTTGTTGGAAGCTCTTCCTTTATAATGTCAGTCCTGTCAATCATCTTTATGTACTGATGTTGTTAACTGCAGTACTTTTCATCAGGTCCCTGCTGCACATGTCTGAAATTTCTGTATTTTTAGTGGCAATAGAACATCAGAGAGTGGACCTTTTTTTTCAAATCTAATTGAGGAATTGTTTCACTTTTAGAGGCTGAATGTTCTGAATGTTCCTCCTACGGCAGGTCCCCTGTATGTAGTTTTCACATTGATATAATTTATTTATGTTTTTCTTTTTATTAAATGGGTTGGTTGTGATTTCACATCTTATGATTATATACTTTACCCCAGCGTGCTGTATTATCCCATACAGTGTGTGTTTAAAGCAGTGTGGTTCATTAAAGCTGCTATTATCAATATTAAGAATGGATCAGATTACTATGAGTAATGTCAAAGGTGTAGTTGTAGTGACGAAGCCACAGAGAATTACCATCCAACCCTGCAGCTCTACGAAGCCTATTAGTGTCTTTTAGCTTATTGTTTTGGTTCTCCAGCTCCGCTTTCCTCAACCTTATTTCCTGCAGCTGCTTGCAGCCGTTTTCAGCAAAACGCTGAGCTAGCTACTTGACTAGTACCAAACTGCAAATTGACAAATTTCATGACTAGCTGGTAAACATTGTGGAACAATAGCAGCTAAAGAGCCAGATATTTCCCTCAGGAACTGGTGGAGACCAAAACATACAATATATCTGTATCGCATTTTCAGCATCTATTAATGCAGCTTTAAAGTAGGACTCATACAGGATTTGGTTATCCTACCTGGTATCTAAGATAAGAATATGTGCAAATACAACCTTATTGTAAGCGCCTTGCACTGTGGGACACACACATTTAAATTGTATTGCATTCTTTAAAAAACAAATATACCTAGCTCTCTAATGAAAGTAAAAAAGATGATGGCAAAAGGTGTAGTGGTAATGATGTGTCACCAACAGAGGAAGCTAACATTGTCATGTCACTGTTCTGTTAATTACGCAAGCCCATTGAGCAAACGTACAGCAAAATGTAGAAGAGACACACAGATATACATCAGTAATGGGATGTCCTTGGTATGGGTTTGGGTTCCTATGACTCTAATGGCACCACATGAGTACTATGCATCTATTGTACACTCTTGAAAAACATAATTTTCAGTACTGAACTCATAGTTCAGGGGACATTGTTCGCCATTTCAATGTTCTTTTTAAAGATGCATTTAAATGGTATCCTCTCACATGGTGTACATTACAACTGGAATATGCCAGCAACCGGAAACTTCGGCGTCCGCATTGTTTATTATAAACTCACGTCATATTCAGAGCTCCCTGTAATTGAATGTCCTGCCTCCAATAACTTCAAGGACTCCAGGGGCCTGCACTGGTAGCGTTGGCATGGCAACTGCACTTGGACTGAATAAATGTATTTAAAGGTGAACGTTCATTTCTCTCTCTCGCATCTCACTCTGCGTCTCTGCCAACATCCTCATTAAAATCCCATTAAGCTTTAATGACCTGAATTCATCCAAATGGCCAAAACATGAGCTCAAGCTCTGCGTACGGCGATCAGCATATCCTCGTCTCTCATTCCGTCCGCCTGCTCTGAATTCATCTGGCTTATTACTGAACTTCCTGGTACAGTCATTCATTTGAACAATTAAATGTCCTCTTTGCCAACATTTTACATCTTTCTGGATCAGACCAGCTCAGAATCTCCTGCTGTTCATCCCTAGTGAGAAAAAACACAGAGCTCATAAATATTTTTTTGTGTTCTTTGCTCATAGAATGTCTTTAAATGCCAGCACTTAAATACAGAATAAATACTTCTGGCGTTATTAGCTACACTATGTACAGTATATTCACACTAGTACATTTGCTTGAGTACTGCACATAAAGATCCCCTCCAGACATTTATTAGGACATAAATAGTCTGCTAGGAACAATAATGTGTGTCTGATGTATTTTTTCTGCAAAAACAATATACTTTCCACATTAAAATCCTTATCTACTCTTTCTACCTCATTATGAATATGGAAATATTGTTGTTGAAGATCATACTGTAGGAACAAAAAGAAAAACATTTTTGAGTGGAGGAGCACTTTAAGTACAATGCTGAGGTACCTGGGTATTTCCATTTTCTGTAATTTTATATTTCAAATCATCTGTAGTTACCACTTACTTTGCAGATTAAGATTTACCAACTAAACATATGATTATGCTCAGCACCAAACAGCTGACACACAAAGTTAGTGACCAACTGATGAACATTTGGAGCCATAATTTTCTTCAGGAGTTAATGGAAACCAAAACTAAATCTAAAAAGGGAATGAATATTGGATTCAAAATTCCTGCTGGATGCATCCATAGCTAACTTTTTGCCAAGGAGTTGGTTATGCTGCCTCAAGGTGACCAAAAGAATCACTAATTTTGTTTTAAGTAACATTTTGTTATTTATTGCTACCAGTGACTGTACAAAATATTAGTGACATTTTCTTTCTTGTTTTAGAATTACTGAGATAGGTAGATACTGCCTTTATCTGAATATTTGGTCCACTCAGTGCACACATAATCTACATATCTCTGACAGGAATAAGCAAATCTCCAGCAACAAAGTCTTTATACTACAACTAATGCTAGATTTTTGACCCTTTAAGACCAGTTTCCCTTCTCCATGCACCTTGTAAGAAATGTTCTACTCATAAAAGCATACTGACATATAGTTTTATTTCAATCTTTGAATTGGCAATCTCCCATCCTTATACACAGCAGTGTTCAGGGTTAACCAGCCTGATTATATAAAAGTTAAACAAATAATGGTTTGCAGAACAGAGGTCACCAATATTTGCCCTTGATAAAATAAACAGATAGCCTCTCCCTTTAGCAGCAACTTAATCATTTTATGTCTTGCATAAAGTGTGAGCGTAAACAATAAAGGCGCAGCTGCAAAAAAGTTGTGTGGAGATCACACAAAGTGAGAACTACTGTGCTGTAAGTACAGTAAGAAGAACATTCAGGGTTTGTGAATTTGCCTTCAAGATTCACCAGAATTATCTGTTATAATTTAAACTTTACAATTTGTATCAATTTGAGAATATCCAGGATTTTGTAAAATGATATATTATGAGTCTTATTTTGGCATAAAGATATGTTGGTTTCTCTTATGTGACAGATTGGAGGATGTGGCTAAACCAAGTGCAACCGTGACAAACTGTCAAATTGCTTCAGCCTATCGGCTTGCAGAGCTCACTGCTCTGTCAACTGGTGATTCATGACACGTATGCTTTGCATTTAACAAGGAGAGGATGGAAAATGTAAAGTTTGCCTGGAGATATTGAAGTCCTATAGCATATACAGTATTTGTTTTACAAGCACTATTACTGCATAAGCACACATCAAATCTGTTATCCTCTGTGAAATATTGACAGGATTTAACTAAAGCAAAGAGTAGTCCATAGCGTACTGCTGTCATTTCCTGAACACCTTGTGTACAAAGACTGTAGGTAAATATGATATTTGCAATGTTACCTGATTAGTTATCCATACGATTCTATGGCAACCATATCATATTACATTTCATAAACGTTTCAACGTCAGAGATATGAAAGATGTAGGAGGGAGCGAAGGATGAAACCTAATTTGCCTTAATATTGTTGCCTCAGTCAGAAGAGCCTGTTGCCAGGAAACTGCATGAAATCTGACCAAATATTGCCTGATGTGTCACAGCCAGAGATTTTAATTCCAAAAGGAGATATCCATCATTAAAAATACATCTTCTCTTGCGGCTGATTACATTCTGGAGTGTCTTGAAGATTAAGTAAGCTGAGAACAACTCCTGTGCCTTTTTTTGTTTGTTTTGTGTCAGAAAATAGTATTAATAAGTAATGACGTTATTCTGGCAGATTCTGACAGTAAGTCTGAGGGAGACAGGGTCTGTGGGAAGAGAGGGTGTATGTAACAAGGGGGGTATGCACCTTAACCATTCAACAACTGGGGGCGTCCCCTTAACTCAGTAGCACATCAGTTTGCTCCAATCATTGCCTCCCTACTCCACATCAAGGGCTGTAGCTACCACTGACAACACTGAGGTCACGCCATTGCATTTCTGTGTATCGTATAAAGGTCCAGTGTGTAACATTAAGGAGGCTCTATTGTCAGAAATGGAATATAATATTCATAAGCATGTTTTCATTAGTGTGCAATCACCTGAATATAACAACCGTTGTGTTTTTGTTCCCTTAGGATAAGACGTTTTTTTCTGAGACAGAGGGCTATGGACCGGGCATGTTTCTACAGTAGCCCAGAACGGACAAACCAAACACTGGCTCTAGATAGGTCACTTTGAGTTTCAAGGCCACCGTATTTGTCCTACAGGCTTGAGCCGTCTTCAGTCGGTTGCAGTCTGAAACTTCATCGCAAAATGCTATTAAATCCTACTGGACCTTTAAGCAAACTGGGGGATGTTTTACATTTTGACAACTTACACATGCTGCATATTTGATTGAGTGATTCAGATATTTTTTGAGTCAGTATGTTTGACTATTTGTTACACCAACACCACTTATTTGCACGTGTTTGGCTACATTAGTTGTCTTTTCCTGACAGTTTCCTTGTCTCTCCTACACTGGTTAAACCTGCCTTACAGTAGTTCTCCTGGATGTGAGCACTAACTGTACCTGCTGAACTGCTTCTCAGGTTCCTTATTGACCAACTGATACATCAGATGTTACACTCACATGTAACCAGACTAACTTGTACATAGCTGAATTCCTCTGTAAACATTTAAGTGGACTAACAGAGGAGTTAATGTCCCTCTCTTAACACATTGACCAGACACCAACGGATCAGTGTTTGATTCAAATAGCTTCTCTTTATCTTCATCTAAATAGCAACTTGTCTTTGCTAATTAATGAATTCTTAATGTCATCTTGACCTCCCTTCTTCTTTTCTTCACTTCTTGCCTTTAACTAGTCAGTGAAAAATATCATCACAGTGAAATGGGATGAAGCACCAGGAGAAGAAAGATTCTGTTCTGTCTTCTTTATTTTGTGTTCCCTCACAATATATTCTGCATTCCTTCTGATCCGTAGATGAAAGTTAAGATGTATTGTGATAAAGTTTTATGTGTTATATATAAGACAGTTGTGGAATGCACTCTCAGTTGTGGCCGAGTCAAGTCTGCATCATTACAGCTTGCTAGAATTAGCAGAGCTACCTGACCTAGCTCTCTCACTGACTGCTGCAGAGGCTGATTGAGACAGTATCTGTTATTATGTCTATTAGTCATAGGATGACACAGCATTGGCTGTTGCTTTGAATGCAGCCTGTTCTTCTGTTGTTATGCCTGTGACACATTATTTTATCCTACATCTAATACATACAGGGGTGTGTACAGTGAACTAGTTGTTCTGGCTGAGTGTTGTATTGAAGCTACTGTATTCCTGAACTCCTGTAGTGTATTAGTTATATATACTGTCAATGGTTATATCTGAGAACCGCAGCTTTTGTGGCTAAATGAGGTTTTCTTGGCTTTTTGTTATTTGGGCTTAGCAACCCTTTAACCAGCCTGACCAGAACATAATAATATCAATGGTAGCCTAATATATAAGCACCTTTTCAGTGATTGCTTTACCAGAGCATAAGCAGAGATTTTAGTAAAACATCATGTGACATACAAGTGTTACTAATCATTCAGACTTTGCCCTGTCCCCTTTGCAAACACAAAAACACCTATATTTCCAAACACCTCCCTCCATAGTTGCATCAGCTGCATACACCCCATAGCCCAGAGTCAGAAATATACTGGAAATACCCAAATTACAACATAGTTTACGTATTTCACTTATAGAACATGCAGTTTTTACACATTTGGATAAACAGAAATAATAGCCTACTTCGTGATATAGCTGCAATATGACCGAAACTGCGTTTAAATATGAAACACTCGGGTGTGAGGTGTGGATGCTTAAAGATCATGTTTTCCATGCAGTTTTCCATGATCCGTGTGCGTTATCACTCAGGGCTGATGTGTAGGAATGCCAGCAGAGAGCAGGGAGCGCCGCTCATTCACTTCCAGGTGCAGCCCGCTGCGGTCCAGTCACATTTCAACACGAACTGCTTTCGGCCTGATAAATGCGCATGCGCACTACGGCTGACCCCTCCGGTTTCTGCGTGCGATGCCACGTTAGTAGCGGTAGACACAAAATACCAGCTACTCTCCCAACCTTAAACAAGGAAAAAGACCAAAACGAAGACCAATCTCCCAGCTCAACCGTAGCCGACCGTGTCTGCAGCTCTTGTCTCTCTGTCAGGAAGAATACTCGACGGCAACTATGTTGAAGTTTTTGCTCATCTGCACACTGGCGGTGGCCAGCCGGGCTGAGATCGCTGAGGAAGAAGATGTCCTGGTGCTGAAGAAAAGTAACTTCGACGAGGCTCTCGCAGCTCACCCCAACCTCTTGGTTGAATTCTGTAAGTAACAACAGCTAGAACATGTCTCCAGCTGAAGCTCGGTGTCTGCAGCAGGCTCACCGGTTACCCGGCTAGCTAGCTAAATTAAGCCTTGCTTAATGTTAGCATTAAACTTTGACACTTCTGACAAGTTGCCGCCGTTAGTGGCTAACTTACTGATGTCCTGCTCAGTTTTGCATCCATGTGTGGATCTGTTTCACATTCAAACTGTGTAAAAAAGATTGACGTGCACTGTCAACCAGACTGCGTTTTTTCTTTGTCAGACTATTTGCCATTAAATTTGGCAAACGTTAGCTAGCACCGAATATCCTCGAAGTGATCGATTCTGACTGGGTTACGAAACTTGCCACAACATCGTAACCCCAAACCTTTTTTTTTTTTTAACAACTAATGTTAATTATAATGCAGTTTCTGTTAAGCCATAGTCTTGCTTTGACTTATCTATAGCTGCCGAGTGTTATAGGTAAGTTAGCTAATAGCAGCGCATCATATTGCATTTTGAGAAGTCGGCCACGATGACTTTACCGCCGGGATAATGCTGTAATAACACAATTATTAACACAATTATTAACGCCAGAAGCGAAGGAATAACTCAGGGGAATCAGAAAAGTGCGGGATTACTTAAGTTTCGATTGCCTGCTGTGGTTTCATACAGCAAGTTTCACTTTTACTGAAGCCCAAACGTCTTATTGACTTGAATGTAAATTCAGTTCTTGTCTTGGGGTGATTAATTTCTCCTAATTATACACAGAGAGGTTTTGTGTCAGACCGTAAACTGTAATGGGCCACTTCTTCATAGCCTGCAGGCCCATCCCGCTACACTTTTGTCAGCTTGTTGACCTGCTCTCACACACAGACACACATTTCACTGACGAACCAGTGGGCCAGTCACAGATGGCCGTGGGACAGACTCTCCAATGAGCTCAGGATGGGAGGGCTGAAGGCCTTGTTGGCCCACGTATTTCTCAGCTGGGCGGGATCTGTGTTGGGATGTGGAGCTAGGTTGACGTGTACTTTACAAAAGTTCATCTGTGCGTTTATATTGACTGTCCTGGAACAAGGAAGCTTTGTCAAGAATTTAAGGTGATGCAATGCAGGTCATTTTATTTGACGTGTCAGTTGCGATTAGGTTGATTATCTGTTTGGAACTTGAGTTCAGACTTGTACAATGTTCAATTGGGCGCATTGGCTTACAAATTAACATGTGAAGCCACAGTGCAAATTAAATTATCCCGCATTTGTATGGTAGTCTGCTCCAGCCACTAGGATATGTAATCCTCCAAGTTCTCTTTCAAACTAGTCCATTAAAAAGGTTGCAAACTAACTTCATCAAACGTTGTATGAAAATATCTTTGGTTTATAAAATGTCAGAATAGAATGAAATCACATGTTCCCCCCTGAGATATTTAAGTAAGTTAAAACAATACAGTGTAGAAAAGCAGCAAATCCTCACATTTATATCACTGAAAAAAGTGAATGTTTGCTCAACCAATAATCAATTATCAAAATAGTTTGTAAAATCAATTCTGTGCATTGATCAATCAAGTAATCAACTAATAGTACCACTATATTCTGCTCTGCTACGTGCAAGCAGGACAGGGTCTTGGTCAATAGTAAAGGCATTTATTAAGTGTTTTTGAGTGGGTGATCAATAGGACTGTTTGTACCACAATTGATCAACCCCTTTGATCAGATGTACAACAGTGCAAACCACTGTATGGGACCTGCTAATTTCCTTCCTGACACTCCTACAGATGCACCATGGTGTGGTCACTGCAAGGCCCTGGCTCCAGAGTACGCCAAGGCCGCTGGCATGCTGAAGGCCGAGGGTTCAGCGGTCCGCCTGGGTAAGGTGGACGCCACAGAGGAGACCGAACTGGCCCAAGAGTATGGCGTCCGGGGATACCCCACCATCAAGTTCTACAAGGGCGGAGAGAAGGAGTCACCCAAAGAGTATTCTGGTGAGGATTATTGTGATTTCTTTTTTTTTTTTTACATTTATTTAATTTAATTTATATATATATATATTATTTAAAATTGATTGCACTTGCATGAAAAAGAGATAATTTAGAAGGTGGAGGCAGTAGTGGGAAATAAGGTGTCTGTTTACTTTTATGTTGTATTAAGATTTAGGTTTTAGGTTCTTCTTCCCCATCGTACAAATAGTTTTTTCTCTACCCAGTGCATCTTTTTAATGAATGGTAGAATTTTTTCACAAAGTGATGTAATCTTGAGAAACTGCTGTAATAGTTAAGTGAGTGAATATTATTGCTTAGTATCATGTTATGAAATGCTCCATAGATGGAAAACGAATCAGATGACACTCGTAGGCAAGCCCTATTGACTTTCTTTATGCTGGTAATATGATATGCACAGCAGCATAAACAGCAAGGGAACCAATCAGCTTTTAGCAACATGACCGAGTCAAAAGTGGGTTGGGCCTGCACGTTCCTCTCATGCTGAGTCTGAGCCGGCAGAGATATGTGCAGTTCCTCACGTCGCTGTTGCCTCCTCTCCACTGGCCCAGGGCAGGCTCTGTTTGGAAAGGGTAGGGAGAGTAGCTGGGGGAGAAAATTACTACTATGACTTGAGTCCAGCTTCTAGAAACATCCCTCTCCCACGCACCGCCTGAAACCTCACAGCATTGCGCCAAGACTGCCTGCTGTATCACTTCATCATCATGTGTTTCTCAGTGAAATTGCTACCATGTTGCATCACTGGTTCAGTCTGACAGCCAGGTCTATCTTAAGTCCAGTTTAATTTCAGTCTTACAGTGTTACTCCAAAGAAAGGTAAACACATCTTTGCCTTTGATTGCCTTGTCTTTGTATTATAATTGAATGATCATACAATGTGGTGCTTGGGTTTGAAAGTAAAAACAAATGAGCCACTTCTGTTAGTCAGTTGAATTTGAAAGAGCTGTTAACCAGAGGTTTAAGAAATGCAGAAGTGGTCTGTTGTTGCTGTTGGCATATTTTAACTTTTTTCTGACAAGCTGGAAAATGTATGAAGGGTGTGTCTTCATGTCTTCAGTTTGACTACAGTAGAGACAGTGCAAATTCACTATAGCATGGGCCTGGGCAATAAAACCATAGCAACATACAGTATATTGACAATATACACTTCATGAACAGTAACTAGAATTATTCATGATGAATGAACTGTGCGCGATAAAGAACCAGAATCAGAAATACTATATTGATCCCTACAGGGAAATTGACAAAATGACAAAATGTTATTATTACCTGTGTGCCTTGATACATGAGGTGGTTAAATTCAAACCTGTCACCTGGTCTTTAGTGAAAATAGTCAGTAAAAAGTATCAGTGCGAGTCAAATACTAAAAAATGTTCCTACTTCGAAGCCAGATAGCTGATGGCACATTGTCCATATTTTAATCATTTTAGTTCATCATCAGTTTAGCTTTTGACAAGTCAACGTGATGCCTGTGTGTACAGAAGTACTTGAGTTAATGGGTTTTGTTGTCCTGCAGCTGGCAGGCAGGCAGAGGACATCGTCAGCTGGCTGAAGAAGCGCACAGGCCCGGCCGTCACCACGCTGGCCGCAGTCACAGAGGCAGAGTCTCTGATCGCTGACAGTGAGGTTGCAGTCATTGGATTCTTTAAGGTATGATTCTGATCTCTCCCTTTTCCCTTTAATCTCCTTTCTTTTGTTTTTATATTGTATAAACATGTTTTGTACAGATTACTGGATGGTTGATTTTGATGACGAGTGTAATATCTCAAAATGCATGAAGTTTGTTTATTCAGTATCTGCATTATTTGAATATAACTTTTCTGGCATCGTCTTTGTCAGTATGCTTTGTTGATTTCAAACCACCTGAAGAGCCTTACTGCCTTTTTAAATGTTAAAAAAAACACTGAAGATTACTTGCACACTGCTTTATATTAAAGGAAGTTTATATGTGTCTGCAGGATCTTAACTCCGACGGTGCCAAGGCCTACGAAAAAGCAGCTGAAGCCATAGACGACATTCCCTTCGCCATCACGTCCGACGAGGCCGTTTACGGCAAGTTTGAGGTGTCCAAGGACAGCGTTGTCCTCTTCAAGAAGGTGACTGCACACTCTTAAGTTTATTTCTTCACTAATAATTCATTTAGATTGCCGAAAGCACAAATATTACATCAATGTCTATTCAGCCATATGGACAAAGCAGGACATCTTATAATTCCAAATTGGTTGACATATATTTATGTGAAGTATTTACTCACTTTCCCAGGTGTAATCAAAATATATTGAAAATAGGTTATCGTGGCCTTGCTTCAGCATGTGAAGCATTTACAGACTGGCTGCTGAAGACACCCCGGTGTTTTTGATCTACACCTTGGTAACAGGATGCTGTCGACCTCACAGTATCCACTCTCCATTGCTAATCTTGGCTCGTCTCAGGTGCTTCAACGTTTTAGACGTGCCCCTGCCTTTGGGCCTGTTGCTCGACCCACCCAGTGAATGACCTCAGCATGTTGAGCTGATGGTGATGAATGGTAAGGAGCTGTATTAGGTGATGGTACCCCATTTGACTAGTCCCATTGGCTATGAGCAAAGGATGAATGAATGGCAGTTGTGTGCTCTGTCTAGCCCAAACTGGCCACCTTTTCCTTTTTCCCCTGTGTTCTCTTTCAAACTAGTCCATTAAAAAGGTTGCAAACTAACTTCATCAAACGTATGAAAATATCTTTGGTTTATAAAATGTCAGAATAGAATGAAATCACATGTTCCCCCCCTGAGATATTTAAGTCCCATGAAATCTGCACAAGATGGGATTTTTTTTTTTTCCTCAGAGGCGATGCTTGTGTTCTATTGCAGTTACTGACTACAGCCATCCCTTGCTGAATAGGTCAGAGATCATTTCACTTTCTTATCAGCAAAACCGTATCTCAGTCAGCATAGAAATGTGTCAAATTAGGTCAAGGTCCAGTAGGTCTTCCAATAAAAAAATAAATAAAGCAACTGAGTAATGTGACACTGATTAATTAAACCTTTTAAAAGCCTGAAATCCTCTATTTACAGCAACAAATATCCTCAAAACTATGCTCTATGGCTGCAACTAATGATTGTTTTCATTATTCATGAATTTCTCCATTATTTTTTTTTCTATTTAATTTAAGTTGTTTTGTTCATAAAATGTCAGGAATTTGTAGAAAAATGTTTATCAGTGTTTCTCAAGGCCCAACATGACGTCTTTAAATGACTTATTTTTGTCATATCTGACTTAAGAAACTAGAAAAGAAGCTGAAATAATATTTTATTAATAATATTTATTATTTTATTTAATAGTTGACAACTAAGC